AAGAATTTATACTTCATCGAAAGTATATTGTTTATTTATTTCCTCATGTAAAACCATACCTAGGATTAATTTAAGGAGCCCAAATTTTGAAAATAATTCCTCTTCAACCCATAGATTAACCTTAATGGAAAAAAAAAAAAATCCTCATTGCATGCTCTTCACACTAATGTATCAAGATCATACAGAGACCATCCAATTTTTAGAGGGTGATATCTAAATGTTAGAAAACTCAAGTTTCAAATTTTAACTTTTAAAAATAATTAGTGATAATTTGGTGGTTCCAAAAATTTTAAATTGAAAAAGACTGTTTATCAAAGAAGTAAACTTATATTATACTCCCGCAGGAGTATGTCCCCGTTTTTTTAAACCACAACGTATTTAAGGAGTGCATGGAGTTTATCATGGTGTTATTATTACATGAGTTTATCATGGTGTTATTATCAAAGGGTAATGAAAGGACACAAAAGACGTGTGTATATAAAAAGGTCGTCTTACTTTGATGAATACAACCGAATTGTTTAAGGGCCAATCGATAGTTCAATATGCGGATCCTTTCCAATATATTGACTCAAGGATTTTGTCCACATGCAATGGAAAATTGAAAGTAATGCCTTATGTTTATTTATTATTATTTTTTGGTAAGACATTTTGATGAGAATGGAGTAAAAGATTTCACCATGGAGCTCGTCGATACTACCGTTAAAGTCTCGATTTATTCTCCAAAGGAATGGTTTAAAAAATGGATCGGTGACCCGGATCGGGCTTCCAAAAAACCGATCTGGATCGGCGAATCGACGATCCGAATCGAGAATCGGGTGAATCGCTCATAATAAAGCTTAAAAAAAATCCGAATAAATTATTAAAATTCATTATAAATATTTTTTTTTAGGAATTCAATAAAAAATAAAGGTACTCCATTAAGAATTTTCATGTTTTTGAATGAATATGCGAATATTGATATGTTCTTTCCCTGCATGAACCGTCATTCAGCATTTAATTTACATCATACAAAAGGATAAACATAGAATTATCATGGAATAAGTATATCAACATACATGGACTACAATAAAGCATAAAATTAGTAACATATGATCTAAAAATAAAATGATAGACGACGTTATTGTTCTTCTCGTTCACGCTGGTGCCATTGATTGAATTCGTTTAACAATTCATTGATTCGATCTAAAAACGAATCATCGATATTAGCAGGAGTTTGACTATTCCCAAATCCCTGAGTGTTAGTATTTTGTTGTGTTCCCAATCTAAAATCCCCGAAGATTGTCCTTCCTTCATGCTCACCTGCACTGTCGTGCTCATCCCTACACTGTTGCTGTTGGGACTCGATATGTGAATAATATGGTTGGGATAGGGTGGCCTCAGAATCATCATCTCTCTCATTTTCTCTTTGAATAATATGGAATTAAAAAAAAAAAAACAAATTTTTAAAAAAATCGATCATGGATTAAAAAAAAAAAATCACAAATTTTCAAAAAATTCTATCATGAATTACAAAAAAAAAATCGATCATGGATTAAAAAAAAAAAAAACATAAATTTTCAAAAAATTCAATCATGGATTACAAAAAATTCGATCATGGATTACATAAAATTCGATCATGGATTACAAAAAAAAAAAACAAAAAATTCAATCGTGGATTACAAAAGAAAAAAAAAACAATTTGATCATGGATTGCAAAAAATTCAATCATGGATTACAAAAAACTCTATCATGGGTTACGAAAAAAACAAAAAACAAAAAATTCGATCATGGATTAC